CAGACCAGGGAGTTGCTGTTTAATGTGAATAGTTTCAAATTTGCAAGATGAAAAAGTCCTGGAGATGTGTTGCACAGCAACGTGAATATTCTTAACATTACTGAACTATCTACACGTAAAAAAGATGGCAAATTTTATGTTGTATGTTTTTTACTATCACCACAAAAGTAGAAAAATAGTTAACTTTAAAAAGAACAGGGCTGATCTAAAAAAGATTATCTTGAAGGTCAGAGTTTGGCTAATTTGATTGAAAAACTTTTGTAGTAAAGAGGGAGCCAGCATATTGTTAGAGAGTTAAATCACAGAGTGGCATGACCTGTTAGCAACATCTCATCCCCCTCTAGTATCTCATTTTCTCCCAAATAGCATTATTTTTTGTTTTCCCGGGCTCAACTGCCCATACACTGTAGTAGACATATAAAAGCAGGACTTCTCTGGGAACAAAGCTCCCATCCTGCTGCTAGAAACCCAACTCTTCCCCATAGGAGGCCTTACATCAAACTCCAGACCAATGGAGGTATCTATAATGATAAAAGCGTAATATGCAAATCGACCAAACGGCCAAACAGCAGAACAACTGTCTGGACGACCACGCTATGACATGCACTGGCGCCAGGCCAGCCAAGGCAGGAGCGATGTGATTGGTCGGGGGGCCCCCGCCATCACCCCACAATCGCCCTGCAGAGGGAGGCCCAGGCCACCGGGGCAATCAATCAGGGTGTGTGTGGGGGCCTCTGCAATTGCCCCGTAGAGGGAAGCCCAGGCCGTCAGCGCTGTGGTGGGGCCTCCCTCTGCAGGGCAATTGATCGAGGGGCTTCTGGACTGTGAGAGGGTGTAGGCCGGGCTGAAGGACCCCCCTCCCACCCCCAGTGCACGAATTTCATGCATGAATTTGTGCACCGGGCCTCTAGTTTGGGTATAACTGAGATAGAAGATAATTTATTTATTTAATGCAATGAAGTACGAAGAGATAAGGGCTGCCTCGGCAGTCAATGGGAATAAAAACTAAAAGGCAATAAATTTAAAAACTACAGTAGGTCCTCAGGTTACGTCAGAGATCCGTTCCTACAGCACGATGTAACGCGATTTTCGTCGTAAGTCAGAACCCACCTACATAAGCACCTACGTCACTCACATGGAGCACATACACAGCAGTAATGAAGTGAAAATAGTAAAAAAAAATTTAAAAGAAAGATAACAATTCCTGACCTTTACTGTGGTAAACAAATAATAAAAAACATAGAGCACATATCTACATACGTCGAAATGACGGAACTTTTTCTTTTTTTAAATAATGGGAGATGGCGACGTACCCACAAAACGACATACGTCGAGTCCGACGTAACCTGAGGACTATCTGTATTAGTTAGAAAGGGCTAAACACCTGGATGTGAAGACCAGGTCCTCAGGAGGAGAGCCTTTGTTTGATGAAAAGATGTAATGAAAAGCAGCGTGTTAGGCATAAAGCACCTACATTTGTGAAAATGGTAGGCTAGACATCCCTAGAGCAATGTTGGTTCCAAGGCATGTTCTTTCCTTCTTCACCTGATTTACTTTTAGGATGAAATCTACTTTCGACCACATTCTTCTTGTGGCATTTAAGCTCCCTTCTCCCCATTCTGGACAGTTCTGTTTTAGCCTGCTGTATTTAACGAACTCCCTGGCAAGCTTTTGTTTTATTCAAGAATTCTATAGCTGCAAAGTCTGAAAAAAACTGACCTAAGATATTGAAGGGACCAAAATTTTGCCACCCTGAAGCTGCCTTTTTGGCATTTTGATTTTCAATTGTTTATTAAAAAGACAAAAGACTCAGAAAGAACAAAAGACTCAGAAAGAACCTTTGGCCCTCCCCGCTTTCCTGCCCAAGAGCTGCAGACAGAAGCCTGCTTTGGGAAGGGAGCCTTGGCTTAATCACCTTAGGAATCTTCACCCTAGCAATAGTCAGGAAGACTCCAGCTTGTCAGCAAGAATATTCCTGCCACTCTTGTTCTGCACTCAATTCAACTGCCTGTAAATTGCCCATTCTCACTCCTGAAATCTAAGACTCCAAAATTATTACATATCCAATGTTGCCTGTCTTTGGAATTTTCAGGACGATGTGAATTCCCCATGAACATGTATTAAAACCTTTATTTTCTCCTGTTAATTTTATTAGTCCAGCCTAGAAAAACTTAGAAGTTGAAGAGTATTAATATTCTTTTAGCCCCCACAGTATATATGACGCTTCAGTGGCTTGACCCTGTGAGTATCCATCGATTTTGTACATGGCAGTTTCTCAACCAAGATTCTATTGACATGTTGGGTTGGATAGGTCTTTGTTGTGGGGGCTGTCCTGTGTATTGTAGGATGTTTGGCAGCATCCCCAGCCTCTACCCGCTATATGCCAGTAGCTTCCCTCCCAGATCCTATAGTCATGGCAATAAGAAATGTCTCCAGACATTCCCAAATGTCCCTGGGGTCAAAATCCCCTTTCCTGTTGAGAACGACTGATACAGAGGGCTTACGGGTCCAATTCTAAACTCAGACCCCAATCTGTTTTGGGCCTGCTGCTGTGTTATTCCAGCTTCTCCTTTCTTTTCCACTACTATGGCCATGTTAAACATTAGCTAGCACTGTATTTTTCTTTTATGGGTAGGAAGAGAAAACAAGCAGCTAGAGATTCTAACACAAGTTTGGGTATTTGCCTACCATAGTTGTAAATTAATAGGAGAAAAGGATTACTTAGTTACCTGAAATACAAGGCAGAAGACGTTTGTAGGTACCAGTTTAGGCATTTCAGTATCTGAATGTAAAATCTGTTTCTCTAAATACATGTGTGTGTTTTTTTAAAGGTAGAATTTAATAAGTATAAATCCTAACAAAAGAAAAATTTAATTTGTAAGTGATTATGCTTGATCAAAGCATTTAAAGTGTCAAAACAAGTTATGCTTCAGTAGGGGTCTAAAATACATATAAATACTTTTCCTCCCACTTTCTAAATTCTTCTGGTTTGGCTAATAACCAAATTAAAAGATAGATATTAACAGGAGAAAATAAAGTTTAATACATGCACATGGGGAATTCACGTAGACATGATAAATCCATAAAAATTCCAAAGACAGTGAGGCAACACTGGGTATATAAGACATTTCTGGACAAAGAGAAAAGGGGTGGGGGTGGGGGTGAGATAACAGATTTCAGAAGTGAGAATGGGCAATTTACAGGTAGTTGAGGATGACAAAATATACTTGGCAGGAAAATCCCTGCTAGGTGACTGAGAAACAATAGGGCACAGTGGGTATCTAGCTAATAGGCACCTGCCTGAAGTTCTCTTGTTTACCCTACTTAATTCAAATTGGGCTAAGGGGAATTTCATAAGATCTCCTTCCAGAAGCTGGGTTCTTTGTCTGAAACTCTTGGGCAGGAAAGGGGGGAGGGTCAAAGGTTCTTTCTGGGTCTTTCGTTTCTTAGTAAACAGCTTAAAAATCAACGTCTAAAAAGCAGCTTCAGGGTGGAAGAATTTTGATCCCTTCACATCCCATCAAGCATCTTTCATCATTGGATTTAAATCCCTCACAATGTTGGTCAAGTCTTAATATGCACAGAAAGCAAGATGGATATAGATGAGTTATCCTTTCTATAAGACTCTCCATGCTAGATTAGAGTTTGAAACCCGGGCTTTCTAAAATGCCTAGTGTGTCACATGTTCAGTGTAATCTGAAATTCATAATGTTCTAGGCCAGACAAGTGACCTCTTAAGTAACACATTTGGACCATGTTTGGACTAGTAGTTTCTTAGTCTCTCATTAGCCATCATTTGTTTTGCAATACCTGAGGCTTATTTCTAGAGATCTTCCTTAATGTCATCTTATCTGTATTTTGGTATTTATACAATATATTTTATTTCCCTCATTTTACACTCGTCACCAGCTAGTCTATGGCTAACTTCATCTGCCTCAGGGTGAAGCAGCTCCTCAGGTGCTCATCTCCTGGACCTAACTGAGGTCTCTCAAAGGCCCCTGGGTTACACTCTGCTGCCCAAGCAGTGGCAACATCACCATGAACTTCCCTGACTCCAAGTTATAGATTCACAAAATGCCTGACATAATTTTTCAATAAAAATAAACAGCAAAGGTTATATATCATGTTCATTTTTTAGACTAACGTTCCAAACTTTAAGTAAAACTTCCTCCCATGAAGGAAGAGAAAATCCATTTAAGGAAGTTGCCACTACTACTCAAAAACCAAAAGGAAAATAAAGCAACACTGCATAACTGTGTTCTAAATAGCTACTACATAGACTACCAAACTAAAACTCAATGTAAAAACACGATCACATACATTAATGCTAACTTTCATATTTCAAATGATCATTTTTCTCTTTTAGGCAGAAATTACCCTCCAATGTGGCCCTTATTCAGCTGAGCTAAAGGATATAAGGGAACAACACTAGTATGCACATAAGGCTGATAAAACAAAATCCAAGAATTTTTAAAAAAAGGCTGAGGGACAGAGGAATGAGAAACGAAGTCCAGTATCTTTTCATTTAAACCCAACTATTCAAAGGAATGAAATGATCAGTTACCAATTTAGCAGTTTATTTATGATACTCCAGCTCAGCCATTTCAGTAATCTTCATGGGTTGCATTAAAACGTCAGAGCTGTTTTAAGGCCCCCTTGGTAAAGATGATCCATAGTAAATACTGATACCTCATCAGTGAGAGGTAGACTTACAAAACAAATATTCCCCTCTCTGCCCTAACCCACCTTTCATGCACAAGAGTCTATAAAAATGGTGCATTATTACTTATGGAAGAATGGGTCAGGGAATGATCAATCCAGTTTTTCAATCTATTTGCCTTCACAAAGCAGGATTCAGCATATAAGATAAAATTCTATATGGGAGAATGGAATTTTTTTTTCTATTTACCTTAATATTTATTTGAATACAATTTTGAAAATTGGGGAATGAAATAATAAACTATATGATACTGGCAAGATAATTAATAAACTTAACTCACCATTTTTTAGGCTTTGACAATGGTTTGTATTTGCTGTATTTTACACGCCATTCAAGAACTTCTTTACAGCGCTGACAGACTCCATCATGAAGTTTTGTATTAATTTTCTAAAAAAACAAAGAGAAAAGCAAATTGAGAATTTCATCTGTGCGCTAGCATTGCAAACCCCATGAAAAAGGCACACAAGAAATTTAAGTTTTTTAAAAACAGCAACCTAACTGTAATCTGTGTTGACGCCTTATATGTATTTTTATGTACATTCCTCAATTTGCTTCTTTACAAAAGCAAAGATGCTTCACTGGTGTTCCTCAGAATCATCTAAGAAACTTTTTAACCTGCAGGAGTGTTTTGAAAGTCCTCACCATTGATTTCTGATGTGAACATATGTTAAAACTCAAACTGTACAGTTAACGTATGTGCATTTTACTGTATGTAAGTTATATCTCAATAAAAACGTAATAAAGAAAACATAATTCATATTTTAAGACTCTTTTGACAATTCACACTTTACCACTGAGAAATAAGAAATTAGATTTAGAAATGAGATAGTCCGAAATTGTCAGTCTACAGCGGAGACTATGAAACTTGAGAAAGGAGTGCCAGGGAGCAGCAGTTGCAAGCAAGAAGACATTTCATTACTCAGTTGAATCCTTTTGTATTCTCATGTAAAGAAAAATGTTTTAGAAAAGTTACCTTGCTAATCTTGTTTCTTCAAGACAGAAAATAAACACTCATGTGCAGTAAATATCAGTGGTGGGAAAAGGGCTTCACGAGGGGGAAAAGCCCATTTTTATTATAATTTTCTTTTCAAAGTGTGTTGGGCATTAAGGAGGATAGACATTTTTTAAATGTGTTGTGTTCTCCATAAAAGTTTTATATTTGATAATATGTTCATCTGATTCAGAACCTAGATTCTATATTTTCACTAAGTCCTCTGAGAATTCTCTAACTTACTTGTGGTGGAAGCCTGGTCTTTGCCTACTGTTGGAATAATGAGTGGAGAACATTTTACGTTTTCTTTGCTTTTATTTCCCTTCTGTGTTTCTCAAGAGGAAAAAGAAAAGCATCACAAAAAAGCGGATTCTTTGGAAGGTTATTTTTATTTGATACTGAATTAAAAGTACAACGTTTAATGATCATCTGAAACAAAACTTCCGAACAGGGCTTGCTATTCTTCAAAGTTCTAAACAAGAAGGCAAAATAATTTCACAAAACATTTATCCAAAGAGAAAGTATTTCATAGGATATTTTTGAACACCATAAATTGAGCTGTGAATATATTGTTTTAATTTAACTCTGTAGTGAAAAACGTAATTCTGTTACTTAATGAATTGTGTATGAGTATTTCTTTCTTCCTGACCTAGATGGAGAGTCCCTGAGAAAATAAATCCTGTGTGCCATTATACTTCTTCTTACTGTGGTCTGCTAATTATTGCCCAAAAGAAGGAAATCTGTGCTTGATATCAAACTCCTCTTCTGAGCAACCTTGATACTTAGTTATCGCCTACAAGGCTTGCTAAGAAATCCCCAGAACCAAAGTTCACATTTCATCATTTGTTCTCCCTGCCTTCTGTTGCCTACAGTATCTTACTAAAAGCATTAGGTATATTTTCATAACTCTAGCACTGGGAACAAGATAATGACTTGACTATGATTACAATATGAATGTGGTATAAACTTTCTAATTAGAATATGCTTAGAATGCAAAGTGTTTCCTTACCTGAAATTTGATCATATGTAACACTCTGCTTGTTAACTAGGAAGCATTACTTGGTTTCTTGTTTGTTTCTGTATCCAATTTCTGACCAGTTCATCTTGATTTACAAAGCTGCGCATAGTTTTGAAACTGGTTTCTTTAGGTGGATTGACAGTAGAACAAAACAGGTCTTTGTGGGAACTTGTCCTGTGAGCGATGTGTGAAGCAGTATAAATGCAGATGCTGCACAGAGCTCACATAACTAACAGGCACTACTACAAAATTAAACTTGATTTCCATGGGTTAAGAAATGAATGGAAGTAAGAATGAGAATAGTACTTTCACTTAAAAATAGCTGCAGAAAGAGAGAGAACTGAACACCTTGTTTCCTGAATTTTGGCAAACTAGAGAAAGTTAATTCCAGAGATGTGAGCAATGAAAGCTGTCTTAGCTTTAGGAATCATTCTGCCTGGGGCAAAGAACTCAGCAATCCTATGGTACTCACACCTGTGATGTTTACAGCTAACCCTGTTTGTGCGATTTATTTTAGCATATCCCTCATGGTAGAAGATTCACTGGAAATGGATTTTCAACAGCAATTGGAATTTTTCTTGAGAATTTCATTTTTAACTCTATATATTTAATTAATGAAGGGAGGTATAATATGCCACTGTTTTACTTTTAGCATTCCTGAAAGAATTATGGTGTACAAAAAAAACCCACAAAAAACGTAATGAACGATTATATTAGTTACTCTTGAATGATATTCAAATTCTTTTCCCCTCACAATAGTATCATCTTTCTGTTAAAGGACACTTTATATTAAGGTTATTAAGGTTAAGATTTAAGCATATAACTATAAAATCGAAATATAAAATAAAAACTTAGTTTTCTAAGTGCAAAAGCCTTGAAAGATCATTTAATTCAACAAGGCTACTTTCAAAATCTTTAAAGAAAAAAGATCTTCTGTGGGAGATTCCACTGAATTTAGGAATCTCAGTTAAAGAAGAAACCTTATTTATCAAGTGAATACTTTTTTAAAAAAGGTCAGAATAAACTTAAGGTATATTAAAAGACACTACTACTTAATATATACATAAAATCTTAGCCATCACTAATTCATACAGCATATTTATAGTAAATGTTATCCCTGCTCTAAATATTCTGCTGTCAGACAATGCACTTTGGTAATAAAACACAGCAATCCCAAAAAGAAATTGGGTGAGGACTTCAAATCCCAAGAAGATAGCAAGAGTAAATTGTAAATATAACATCTGTATCAACATGCTGATGCTGAAAAATATTTTACAAAATATAAAGCATCCTTTAACTGTTAAGGATCAAACTATTGTGTGTGAGGGGGGAGGGAGGAATTTGAATACCACTCAAGAATAATATAATCTTTCATTATGATTTTTTGTAGATCATAATTCAGAAATGCTAAAAGTGAAACAATGGCATATTTCATGTCCTTTATTAATTGGGGAAAGATAGGCTTTAAAAATGAAATTTTAAGGAAAATTTCAGTTCTAACTGCTGTTGAAAATCCATTTCCATGGAATCTCCTGCATTAAACCTCTCCACAAAATAAGACGTTTTATTTTTTTTTTTCTTGGCATTTCAATTATGATGTGTCTTGGTGTGGTCCTCTAATAAGACGTTTTATATCTTAATCATATTTAAGTATATATTATTTTTAAGTTTTCTGGTAACAGTCCCTTAGTCTAAATTTGATTAGAGGATAAAAGATCTCTGGATTTGGGAGCAAGAACTTACTAGTACTAGTATATAACTGTCTTTTAGGCTCTAGCTTTCAAATCATAAGCTACATTTTTTTTTAATATATTTTATTGATTTTTTACAGAGAGGAACAGAGAGAGATAGAGAGTTAGAAACATCGATGAGAGAGAAACATCGATCAGCTGCCTCCTGCACATCTCCTACTGGGGATGTGCCCGCAACCAAGGTACATGCCCTTGACCGGAATCGAACCTGGGACCTTTCAGTCCGCAGGCCGACGCTCTATCCACTGAGCCAAACTGGTTTCGGCTCATAAGCTACATTTTAAATCCTTTTAATATGGCTAGCACATCGTGGGGTATCAAGTATCTTATAAAATAAATACAAGCAAAACAAATAGATGAGGGAATCAGATTGGGGGGAAATGAGAGTAGGTAGGGAAAATTAGGAAGCAGTCAGGAGTGCTGCTGGGAAGTGCTCCTGCTAGAGATGAACTACAAGGGGGATTTGAACTTTCTAGCAGCCAGTAAGACATAAGCTCTGCTCCTACCTAACTCAGAGTCTATAACATGCCAAAATTCTCAGAAACAGCACAACTGATCCTGTTATTCAAACCCAAAGTTTCATCTTTCCCAAAGAGAACACCCACCATACAATACAGTAAGCAATGGTCTCTAAAACATCCTTACAATACAAAGCATTTCACAGAGCTGCTTTCTACCCCAGTTCTCAAAGTGCACGTTATATAATGCTAAGCACGGTATGGCAAAAAAAAGTTATTCTTGGGGGTGCAATGCAGGTACAGCTGCCTGATATTTTCATAGGATCTATAGCAACGCACTGCATATCATAATGACATCAGGAATAGTACTCAACTGAGTCTAAAAATATTCTCTTATTATGAAAATTTCCAAACATGCAGAAAAGTTAAAAAAGTAATACTTATACATAGCCATATATACACTGTATAGAGACAACTATTGGCATTTTATCTATTTGCTTCTTATGTGTGTGTATTTAAAATAAGTTGCAGACATCAACACACTTCACCTATTAATTATATATATCCTAGAAATACTTTCTCCTACTTAACCACAATACTGTTACCCATACTTCAGAAAAATGAAAAATAACTCCAATGTTATTGAATGTAGCCATCTACACTGACATTTCCTCAACTGCCCCGCCTTGTTTATCTCTCTTTTGATCTAGAAGGGTTTCCTCTATTACACTGTTTTTGAAATACTAGGCAAGTTGTCTTCAAGAATATCCCACATTATGGATTTATCTGATTGTTTTCTAATGGTGCAATTTAACTCACTGCTTTATCTCCTATATTTTTATAAAGTGGAAGTTCGGTTTAAAGTCTTGATTGGATCCAGGTTTAATACTGCTTATAATAGTTCATACAGGCTGCTGCTATGAACTTCATGTTACTCTAAGTCATGAAGCACAAAATGTCCTGTTCTTGCCTAGTCAGCAATGAAAAATTTGACGGATCACTTGGTTAAACTGGACAGCAATGACCTCTTTTAAGTATAAAGATTAGCAATAATCTATGGGGGTCATTTCAATACACTGTTCCACAATAGCATTTCACATCATGATTTTAGCATCTATTCAATATCCTTTGCCTGAATAAATCATTTTAAATGTTAACTTTATCATGCT